GAACCCAAAAAAGCAAAAAAAAAAAAAAGCTTCACAGGGGTTTTGTGAAATTGAACCTGCCTTTTTTAAAGGGAAAAAAACTTATTATAAACCTATTTTAGTCTGTCCTCCATCTCAATATCCTGATCATTAATTTGCATTGGGATTTTAGGTTGATAGATTATGCTTGTAGACTGTCAGTTCTTGGTATTTCTAGTTCAACTTGAAAGAACATATCAACATATTGATATGTTTCCTCGTAAGACATCTCAATAGATTGAAAGGAAAATTTTGAGAGGATAAACACGACATACTCTATGTAGTTGGGGGAGAAAATGATATCTCAAAAAGAGGATGTATTTCCACATGCACCAGGACACACTTTTCTTATTATCAGCCATGCTTCTGACACACAAGGAACACTTGTTTGATACGTATAGGAAACAGTACTTTAATCACACAGGCAGATTTCTTATGTGTGAGGAAAACTTCTTTTTGTATTGATAAGGTATGGCAAGAGATATGTAGATTATAGAACAGACGAGTCAATTCATTGAGAAAGTTTTTGGCAGATAGCGGTGTTTCGCTTTATTTCAGATAAATCTTAAATGTATAGGAGTAGCAGCAATTACAATTAAAATTCATGAACAAACCAAGGCTTTGCAGGCATATGCGTCTAACGGAAGGGCTGGCTTTTGATGATAACATTGGAAAATTAGATCCTACTCGCAGCATAAGTCTTGATTTGTTATTCTCCCTTATAGAATTCCTTATTCAATGAAGTTAAACCAAAATTCTGGGTTAGATTTTATTTCCTTACCACTCTTCCCTTGCAATGAAAAGTCATATTTGCCTTTTTCTTACAATTTTCTTGCTTAATCATTCTTAAATCTGCTAAGTAAGCTTCAATTTCCTTCTTTGTTTTTCTGAAAGTAAAAGAAAACTATGTGCTAATTGTGCTATCATCACTTTGTTCAAATACTGTTTTTTGGATCAACAGAGTAATGCTTAATTGTATTTTTGTTTTCTTTCTTTAGGGATCATTTCTGTTGTGAAGAAACTTGATGACCTTGTCCCTATACTAGTGAATTGTTTCAGAGAATCCACTTCTGTAATTCATGCAACACCTGCATTTGATGCAGAATCTTTTGACTGTATGTTAAAAACTATCCAGTGTATAGATCTGGCTGTTAAAGTATTCATAAAAGAAAGATATTTGCCTTCTCCGAGTTCCGGATTTCTTCCTACATCAATTTTTGCTGGACCTAACAGGAGGAACACCACAATTACACATTTAAGCAGGTTGTTGGAGTCATTTCCTATTGGGAAGATGCCTTCCTCTACTGAAAAGGTTATTGCTCTATTCATTTTGTTTAAATATCATTGCTCTCTCATCTTTATTATGCTTGAATAATAACTTTGATTTTCTATCTGTTGCTTTCTAGTAATCTTTAACCTACTATTTACATATATAATGTATATCACTTTCAGCTAGGGTTGATTCAGATCTTGTAATCTGCTTGAGCAGAGGTTTGCTGAGTTGGATGGGAGGTGATGAATGTTTGACATGATTGCTAAATCTCCCAATTGTATTTGCATGGTGTACAATGTACATTCATACTAGGTCTAGGATTGTTATATGCAGTCTGTTGTTTCATTTGGGTTTGAAGGAGACTACCTGGTAGACAAATTAGAAACTGTATGAATAACAGGGTATGTAGATAGTCAGATAGGGATGCAGTGAAGTTGAAATTTAGCCCATGCCAGAAGTGGCCACAGGTGATGAAGACTCATGATCAATGGGGGGTTTGCTTGTGAAACTAAGACCAAACGGGAGGACATAGATGTTCAAGTGCAGTCAGCAATAGGGTGGTTGACTTGATATTTAGGGGTTCTGCATGGAGGTAAATGCGGTGAAGGGATCTCAGAATCCTTTGATGGCTGTATAATGACTGGAAATTCCTCCTCAGTGTTCTCGGAAAAGGAATCATTTTTAGTTGAAGGAAGAACACAAGAAATAGGAGTTAGTTCGGACAGAACTGGGTATAAGAAGAAAGAGTTAAGGAAAACCTGAGGACAGGTAGTGATGATACTGATTCTGGTAGGTAAGTCTTATTAAAGCAACAACTTTTCCAAGAATTTGCAGGAGACATGGGATAACTGACCCATTGAAGAATCTAGTGGATGGTAATCTTATGTGGATTGAGAGACTGCATTAGTTAAGGAAAAATTGGTTAAGAAAGAACAGTCATTAGTTATTAAGAAGTATTTGCGTCTAGCTTATATTTATTCCTTTATTGAATTTGTATTAGAGAGGAAGTGAACAACTGTAATCTTATGTAAGTTTCTCCTCAGAGATTTATCTACATTTTAAAAGGGGATTGTTAATGCTAATCACATTGCTTTACTCAACTATATGTTCCTAATTCCGTTTCTCTTGTGGTCATTGCAGGTGGATGAGAGATATTTTACTTTGAATGCCAAAATAATTGAGATAGTCTTGCACCTTACTGTTTGGATCAATGATGGGAGCATTCCAATTGAGAAATTTCTTGAATTCATTGAAAGTTCATTTGAAAGTTTACTACCTGGGAAGGTTTTAATCTCACCTTATATTTCTGTATTCTTATTTGAAATAAGCCGATAGCTGTTCATATGTGAGATCATGAAGATCTGAGAAAGATCAATTATTTTCCTTCTCCATTTTGTACACAATTTGGATTTGCCAACAATATTACATTAAATTTAGTTTATTTGGTCAAAACAGTGGTGTTACACTAGCAATTGCTTAGTCATCAAGCTGTTCTGTTTATTCTTCTATTTTTCTAATTGATAAACGGGATTATTTAGATAAGTGGGATAGAAATATCCATGTCTACAAGCTAGCAGCTGTCGAACGCTGGTCCTTGATTTTGTAGCTTAACTACTATTTGAGCTGGGGAGAGCGAAGTAAGAGGGAGAAATCTTTGATGGCTGGTCATATTCAGGGTGCTTCCATCGAAGGCCCTAATTATCAACTGACCAACTCTTTACTGTTACTTATTCCTCTTCCCACACTTATCTTCTTATATTATTCTTCTGCTTGTATTTTTGGTTCGACTCTGGTCTCTGAGGGTAGATACATGTTCCCAAATCTACTGAAACCTTTACTGTTAACCTCTTCCTTTATCTTCCTCGTGTTTGTCCTCCTTTCTCCTTTCATTCTTTGTACTATGGTTTATCAGTTCTGGAGTCTGACAGGCAAGTGATTGAGGTATCTATGTCCCCTTCAGATCTTCACGGCTTACTTATCTGTTTGTTGTACATACATATCGCTGCTTTGGTTATGTAACTGTTGAAGCTTTTGTAGGAAATTATAACTAGTATCAAAACTAAGGAAGGTTTTCTTTGTCAAAATTCATAAAGTTAGTTTTGGTTGGAGTTTCTTTTTATTTTTTCATTTTTTTTTTCATTTAAGGACTGGTTAGTTCTGATAATCCTTCACTTATGATTTGATGTTCATGAATTTAGCAGTGTTTGAAAAACACTAGAAGATTTGACATCCATGGTTGTAGCTGGTGCTTATAGTTGCCTCGACCGCCTAATTGCCTGCCATCTGGGCAGCCACATCTTATGAGACACAATGATGAAATACTTAGATTATAATATTCTTTTATTCCATTCTTTCGCTGCAGCCTGCAGAGTGTCTGCAAGTGGAAGCTTAGCTTCTTGGTACGTGGAATCCAGATGTATCTAGGCCTATGTTTCAGTTCATCAGAAAATAATTTCTTGGTTTAGACCAGTTAAGGATTATAGAATAACAGTTACACTTAATATTTCTCTCTCTTGTTAGACCACTATGATTTATTAGATATTGGCAAAGATAATTTAGTGATTCCACGTACTAGAAATTTGTGCTTTCTATATTTCTCCCCATAAGGGATATGCGTTTTGCAAATTGGATCCTGCTAAACCGAAATAGTATTGAGAATTGCTACATGGGCAACTTTTGACATTTAAAATATACTAAGAGTTGCTAAATTATTTTACACACTGCTACTATTGCTGACACGAGAGAAGTAATGCACCCAATCCGTGTAAATTATCAGATAATGCATTACCGGTTCACAAGATTGTCTTGAACAGAATATCAGATAGAGAAGGAGTCTGAGCTGAATCTTGCTTAGTAATACCATGTTCTGTTTGAACGAGAAACCTTTGTGTGCGAAAAATCATTTTATGTCATGATTTTTTGCTATTTACTTTTCTTCTTGTGGATGCACTTGGCTTTTGTAGTGTTTAGCCATTTGACATCATCTCCAGTATTTCATTACCAAACATCATTTCTGGTAAGTGGTATATCCGCTATGTACTTGATTGCTTCCTGCAAGTCACCATGGAACAAGTTTAACCTTGCTTGTTGTGGTATCATTTAGTCTCATTAGCTTCATCTACTGATAGTTTGAAGATTTTATTGATTAATTGCTATATCAGAATATGGCCTTTAAGGTTTCAGTATTTATTAGTAAAGAAATTAATGGAATGTCTGTTCTTACCTCAGGTTGGGAGCCATTTGCCATCTAGCAAAGTGCTTCTGGAAAAACATCTTGCTCCAACTGTAGTATTTATTCCCAGATTGGTGTCACAAATTACAGGCGAGTGGAAAACCCGTCTTCTGGAGGTTTGTCTTTGCACTGCTTGAAAGCAAATTTGCTCTACAACAGCTTCGGGAAATTTTAGTATATATCAATCTATTGTAGAATTGGCAGCAAAACCTGTTCTAATACATAATTCTGCATGGGTGTTCACTATCTGATTTCACCACGTAGGATTTTAGTCACTTGCTGTTTATGATACATTTCCTATTGTGCAGTACAAGTTTGTCCTTTTTTAACATAAGCAGTGGATCATAAATTACAACTGTGTATAACTGGAGAACTGTGGCAAATGTAGGCATTTACTGGTGCATTTAAACATTGCAAAGTTGATTCAAAGCTCTGGCTGGCGTATCTCTCTGCAATTGAAGAAATGCTTCTTCCTGTAAGGCCCAATAGAAGAAATGCCAATCTCTCCTGCCCTATGTGGAGATGGCATCTTGAGTTTAACTAATTATTTTGGCGTTTATTTTCTTTCCTCCATTTGAAACTATTTGTTGCTGAATAATTTTGTTCAGCCACTTTTTGATGCCTTCATTCTTCTTTCTTTTTCTTACAAGGTAACAAGCAATAACATCACATCAGCTACGCCTAATGAATCTGACATGTTGGGCTATCATATTGCCTGGATCCAACATCTCCCTAACATTTTGTTGAACTTAGGTGATAAACACCCTTCTGTTTCAAAGGTATATGTTTGTGTTACTGTTGCATTCTTAAGTTTTGATTGCTTTAGTTTCATATTTACTTGTTTACTTAAGCTTGCAGCTTGAAGTATTCCATGATCAAACAAATAAATCATATCATCATGGTCTCAGAGCCTTTCCCATCATAATGGGATCATCTTGGAGCTTGATTCAAAGTCAATATATCTCCACAGACCACAAATTTTTTTTTTGGGTGAAGATGCCTGTCGCCCCTATATGGTTGTTGCAATCTTCCTGGCAAAATAATTAGTACTAAGTGAGAGTCATACCATCATACCTTGATGACAACGTTGTAGTTAAGGCTTTCCTTTTATGGCCATGCAATTTAAGCTCTGCAACCAAAAACATGCCTCAAAGTTCCCCTAAAGTAAGAGAAAGTTGTAAGTTGACGCAGAGATGCAAGGTGATTTGATTTTCTATTGTGAAAATGCAGTCCTTTCTCTTATGGAATAAATTTAAGAGCGAAATAGAATCAAATTCCTATCTAATGAGTATTTCCTCATCAGACTCTTACCAACCAGATTTATTACTTTGAAGTTAGCTAGATAGCTTGCTGCTCCAAAGCTAAAAGCATAGGCTCATGATTTATGATCAGTAAGTTTTCTGGGAATGAGTCCTAAGTAGTAAGTAGTAAGTGGCTTGTCCTCAAATCAACTCTATTAACGAGATGTAGTTACTGCTTCGAAACTAAAAGCAAAAGCTCATGACTTTGGATCAGTAGCTTTTGGAATGCGTGGCTCACTACTAAGTGGTTTGTTCTCAGATCAATGCTTTTCATTACTACTGGACATCTCCTAATTTATCTTTTCTCGTTTATTGATTTTCATGGACTCCTTTTTCTTCTCATTTGTTTTATAAACCTGGGTAAGTGTAGGCTGGGGATGAAGTACATCATGAAGATGAAATTGATATAGTGCAGTTAAACTGACAACTTTAGTTTATGGTTGTGCTCAGTGTGAACATATATCATAAGCAATTATCTTCATTGTTTGCATGCTTGCTTAGAAAGTGACATGTGATATTAGAAATATTTATTTGCAGTTGAGGAGCATGACATGGCTCTCCTTTACCGTTTAGACTTCTTTTTCTTCCACTACCAATCAGATTCTTTGCAGGTTGTGTTAAAGCTTATACTGCGAATTGGGCAGTGGTCTCAGCAAGGATCTCCTATTGCTTTGGAGTATGACAACCTGCAATTGTCATTAAGAGGGTTTTACAGTGGTCAAGGTATGTGTAAATAACCCTTTTTTTTTTGCTTATAAATCTTTTAGCATTTATTTTATTTTATTTTATTTGTCTATGAATTAACAAGACGTTCAATGAATGGTAAAATGTAACCACTTATTCAGATTTATGTTTTTGATTATATCAATATAAAATGTAGAATTCTCAATAAAAATAAAATAAAATGTAAAAATTTATTTTGACCTAGACACATTAATACCCTCATCACCAAGTTTTGTTGGTTGGAAACATTGTAGACTGTAAAACTAAACAGCCAACTTACATTTATGCCGTTCTATTTTTATGCCTTTTCTGCTGCTACTTGTTTCATGCACGAATGTGTAAAAACTGTTATAAGTCTGATTTATAGACACTCGTAATTTTTTAGCTTCCACGGAGACCGATCATCAAATTTGCGTGATGAAATCCTTGCAGAAGTGGCTTACTCTCTACACACACATATGGAGGAAATAATGTATACGAGGTCGGCTTAATTTGTTAAATGAGCTATCTAGAGATGACATAGTGAGAGGCCCACCCTACTAGTCACATTGCATGTGAGGGTGTTCAAGCACATGGTGAACTTACAGATTGTTAGACTCCTCTAATTGTCTTCTTTATCTCGCAGGACTAATGCAACATGGTTCTTTTATGAGGCTTCCTAGAGATTGCCAGGAACTTGCTGTCTGTTCCCTTTATTACATGTCGAGCTTGAGCTCAGTTTTTCTTCAGACATTGGTTAGCTGTTGCTTGTGTAAGCATCCTTTTTCCCATAAAACTCTTGTCTTCACTTTGGGGTGCTCCCAAGGAAATAAATGATGATTCTTTTTCAGATTCTCCTCTTTAGAAGAGAGGGACAGCATATTCACACTCTAGTAAACTTCATATATGCTTAATATCTGATAAGTTTGATTTCCTAATTCATAAGAGAGATGTCTTTGACTGCTAATAAAATTGAAGCATGTGTACTATGGTGCAGTATATACATACATACATTCATTCGTTTGTGGAAGCTTGCATACATACTATAAATGCATGTATACATATGGTGTATCAAATTACAGATTGCCCAAACTTTATTATACTTAACGTTTGTAATTGTTCATTAAAATAAACAGATTGTCCAACTTTGTTATTGATAAACAAATGCGTGCATGCATGTAAATGGTGCATGAAGCACATAAGATCTAACTTAGCACATAAGTGCTAATTTTATTGTACTGACATGCACATGCACGAACACATGCAGACACGCCCATATGTGTGTACACACACAAGCACACACCCACATGCATGCTCACGCTCACACACACACGCAGACAAACACATACAGACACCCACATACGTGTGCGCACACCCTATCACGCGCATTCAGACACATACACACATGCATGCCCGCATGCATATATGTGTGTGTCTGTGTGCGTGAGCGTGCGTGTTGGGCATCTCATGCAAAATGAGATGTCTAGAAATAAGAGTGGTGATGTTCCACCTGCTTTGAGGAGAGTAGAAGTCGGACCTCACCACAAGCCTAACAAATTTATATATATGTCTTTATGCATGCATACATGTTGGATATGAGTTAGTAGCTCATTTAGCAAAATAAGTTGCCAAGATAAACGAGTGGTGAGGTACACCTGCTTCAATATGACTTGCAATGTGTGACACCTCATATCCATTTTCTCCAATATATCTACAGCTTTAAGCTGTATGTAACTGAAAAGAATCACACACACACACACACTTGCATGCATGTATTTATACATATGGTGCATCAATGTGCGTATGGTCCAACTTTATTATAATGGACACACAAACATATGTATGCCCAAAGATGTCTACAGACGTGCGCAATTTAAACAGTTACTAGATCGAACACTTATTGGCACATGAATATATAACTAAAATGTGCATATTCTAGTTTCCCAAAAGCATCCATTTAACATATAAAACTATGACCAGTCTTGTTACGTGTATAACCCACTGCCTAAAGCTTCTTTTCAATTTTCTGTCCATATTATTAGTAATATTGCTCTTGTTCAAATGATGATGTTGGATAGGTTACTATGGAAAATTGGCACCTTCTCATGTTAAAAAAGGACATCGTGTAAATCCATTACCTAATCGCCAGAGCTACTGCATCCAAACAAATGGTAGGAAGGTTACCATAGGGAGAGATTTCTCGCTCGTAATCATTTATTTAGAAGACCCTATATTAAGCAATAACTGTCATTATCTATCACTGTATGAAAGTCTCAATAATCATTATATTTTCTTTGATGATTCTGAGCAATTGTGCTAAACTTTTCCTTCATGCTCATAGAAAATTGTTTCTCTATCAGAATATTTATAGAACATTTTTCCTTCACTGGAGTTCTGGCTTTGATGCTCATTCACTCGCGCGTGCACATGCTCTTGCGCGCACATGATGTGTGTAGTGTACTGTACTGTATGAGCCTGCATTTAGCTAAAATTTCTTCCAAATCTTATGGTTTCTTTAGCTGCGATTGCATTTTCGGCTGTTTATGTTTAGTCCTAGTAGAAAATAAGGTGTTCACTCTTCACTGTTTCTTTGAAATAGATATTCTGGGGAATAAAATATTTTTCTAGTTGTGATATATTTTTTATCTCTTCATAAAGTTTTACCATTTTTAGAAGCTTTTCATCCCACCATTCAAATTATTCAGGTGAAGATATGGAGCCACTTATGCTGTTACGAGTTATTGAAGTTCTACATTCAGCATACAGAGCTGGTCATGTGCATATCTCAGGTTATATTGGGTTCTTGGTCACCTTGGTTGCACACAAAGTTTTTCCAGGTAATCATGGAGCTTGTTAGGTCCTCTATACGAAATTTCTTTTTTCTTTAAACTTATAATGGCATGTCTTTGGCACTTCCATTTGGTATGCCTTTTGTTGTTTTTTCTCGTAGAATTTTCTGTTATGCTTTTAGAACTAAATAAAATCAGAACTATGAATTCCTACAATGACATGATTATATTTGAAATGTAATTAAGCTGTCGCATCAGTATTATTTCCCTAGTGTATCCTAGGTGTTTGAAGTTTAGATACCTCTTCTGCAGTTCTAATTAGCATACTGGCTGTTGACATTCAGGATAGTAATTTCTTTTATTTTACATTGACTTTGAAGTTTATTTTTTGCTGGATTTAGTGGTTATCTAAGTATAGATATGACTGTTGATTGTGGCAGCCTATTTCAAAGAATTATCCAAAGTATGTGAATTAATTTTAGAATGGAGTATATATCCTTGTATCATTTTGATGGAAGAAAACTTACATGAGGCTGGTGATTAATGACATGCAACCTCAAATTTCTTTTTCCAGATTTCACATCAAAATGACATTAAAATTTTGCTTCGGCTGGAATACTTTGTGCTCTTTTTATCTTTAAATGCTCCTTTGTAACCATGTCAAATAACTAGTAGGTGGAGTGACATGTTTTATTTCTAAATATCTTATGTTTTCTCTATCCAGATAAGTTTTGCATTACAGAGAGCTATGGGAAGGTTTCAAATCGGAGAACTCTTAAATCTCTCAGTGGTATTGTTTGCTCATGCCTATCTCAGATGGGTGATAGTTCCCTTGTGCTGAAATTGCTGTGCAAGAACATTTTTATTGAGATGGTATCTTCAATGCAAGCCTTATTCATCTCATCTGATGTTGTCCTCTATCTTGCTGAGCTGTCTTTTTTTTCCTGCACATGCAGCACTTGGATAATGCTTTCCTTCTCTTGAATTCAATACAGCTTTTGATTTTGTGTTCAAACCTTGGTATTGTATCATTCAGTTATTGGTTTTTTCCCTCTTGCAGTCAAAAAAGATATCTGTGGATAACAAGTATGGGTTGATCAGAATGATAGCTAGTCTTGATACAAGACCTACTAGACTTTCAGAGGAGAATATTGGCAGCCTAAGCAATTGGCTATTTATCTACCTGATTGAAGCAGCTTCTGTATGTAACCACTGTTTTTTAACATTATCCAAGAATAATGCATTTGAGAGCATATTTTCTTTTTTCTTTTTTTTTGGTTTCCTGTGATCACTTTATATATATTTTTTTATTGCCTTCATCTTTATAGTTTTTCCCCTTATTCTGCATCCTTTTGTTTCGCTGGGTTTTCCACTCGTCTGTATTAAATTAACAAGAGTACTTGTGGGTTGTACTTGTTATTTGAAATTTTTGCACCTGATCTCCAGTATGTAGTGAACAGCTTTAACAGTGTTAACATGTTATTAATTATTTTGATGTGAAAAAGTCACTATTATGATAGGTTCTTTTCTGAATATAATTCTTTAAGCTCATATTCTACAATTTTTCTGTAGCACTGTTAGAACGTTTTCTTCTTTTTCTTTATTGGTGCATTGACACAAATGTGGAATTTTATAAGCTGTGGGGGATATCATTCATAATATAGTTTGGCAGTGAAAATATCTTTCTTTCTGAAACATATATTACTTTGTTTATGCTTAAGTCAGTTGAAGTCAGTTGCTTACATATCGGGTTATTCATTATTTGCTTTATAGTGACTGTCATGTTTAGATGTTATAGTTGGTCTTGTCGATTTTGGCTGAGCATTGTTATTATCCACTGCTAGTTTGTATTATACCATTCATTAACCAATATATTGATCCTTGTTAGCATGTTTTAGAGCATTCATATTTAAATGGGATTTCATTACTCTTTTTTGTTGGAATTTAATTCAACATGTTATTTTAGTTTGATCTGTTCCTAGTTGTCACTGTAAATTACTGCTCTCTGTGCTTACTAAGTTATTTGTTGCATTAACAGTATATGCCCACACAAATTGGCATGGATTTTCATTCTGATGAGATACATATATTTCGACACTACGTACTGCCTTGCATCTTCTTGTTTAATGGGAGCAAGAGGCTCTTATTTCATGTGTTGGAGTTGTTTGATTCTTCAATATTGGAGGACGAATTCCCAGGTTTTGGACATAAATTAAAGCCATTTGACAGGGTGGTTTTGATCTGTTCTATACTAATCTTCATGCATGATGATGTGCGGCTGCATAGAAGTCTTTCTTTTTGTCAAGAGGCTATCCAAAGCGTTCTGCAGAAAGTTCTCAGCTTACTGGTAAGCCATGATGACAACTGCACTAGTGTATTGCCTATAAGTCTGTTTCATGGCCTAGTTTATGTTTGATTTACAATGTTCTTGAGAATTGTTTGGTGTTGCCTACCATAAGGGCTGGAGGACAGTCCAGTTGATAAGTAAGAAACACTACGACTATAATTTTAATAATTATTTATGATCAAATCTTCACCAAGATTGTTAGATCACAAGGATGTCTTTCACATCCTACAGCAGGTCGTTGAAGTTGAGAATTTCTTGTGAATACCAATAAGTTTGATGGGGACCTGTGTAATAAAATACAAACAATGATGTTTACTGGTTGAAGTGTATGAAACGAGAAAGTCTACGTGGATTAGCTGTATTATGATGGAAGATAGGATTCATAAACAAAATATAATACCTTTTGCAGTTTCGCATCTCAAATAAATGATGCTCATGGATGTGTAAACAAATTATAATACTTTTTGAGTTTAGGCAGTTAGCACATGTCAAATGAGAAGCATAATATAGGGTAAAATAAGATTTATTTTCATTATCTGAATAATATTTCATGACCTACCCAATTGCATGCTGAAACCTTCTGCTTGTGAACTTAGTGATGCTCAAACGCCGAAGCAATTTTCTGATGCTCTACAGAACTTCAATAGGTCTTAAGGTGGTATCAGAAAGTAGGTATAATTAAATACTTAAATTAACAAGTGACACTGGCAAATATCTTTTTATACAAGACAGTAATAGCGTACTCAGCAATTGGTGGAGATGGTCCAATTGACGTACTTCCATTGGAGCAAACTTATAACTAGCCTTTTCTTTTATCATGTGTTGTAAGTTGTAATAAATTACTTATTCCCAAAGTTGAGAGAAAATACATTGGAATTCTCTGTAAACTCACATTGGCATTTTATACTGTGCCACTCTAGGGGATTTGGAAATCTATTCTTTGTTATTTGATTGATATAAATGTGCATGTTGCTTTGCTAGGAGAGGACACGGAAAATAAAGCTTTTACTTTATTGTAAATAATTTTAGTGCCATTTCTCAAGGCTACTCCAGAATTTGTGTTTTTCTAATCTTCTTATCTTTTTGAGGTATCTTTGATCCTGAGACTTACAAACATTGTACTAATTCTTGTAGCTACTCATGAATCAGGTTTTAGGTTTTATAGTATTTATTGCCTTCAGAATTAGGCACTTCCTGTAGTTATTTGTCAATTGCTTCTGTTATTTCGTACATAAACCTGAGCATTATAATGCAAAACATAACAACAAATTAATTAGTTCTGTTTCACATAACTAATGCAGGAGTCAAGCACATATGCTTTGATGCTCGAAGAAAAGCATAGCATACAGACTTTATTTCACCAGCTGAAGTGTAAAGCAAGCAAATTGCAATGCTCAGATGCCAGCAATTTGGAAAGAGTTTAACAAGTCAAGCAAACTATACACGTGAGTTGAAAAATATACAGTGTGAGAGTTACTTCCATAGCTCAGGACATTTAATATTATACCTTTTTCTTACATTACAGAGTTAATGCATCAATGTCTACTATTGCGCTTGCATCTATATACCTGATCTACATGTTCATTCTCTTTTACCAAGCATGTCAGTGCTCTTTGTTTTTGTCTTCACATTCTGTTGGTGTATAGAAAAACTATGTCCATTGATTCTATAGGATCACTACATATCCAGGTTCTTGTTGTTTAGTATAATTCTATTTTTTAAAAGTTGTTCTCGTGGTAGAACAAGAATTTATTATCCTATTGATCAAATGGAATAGGTAGCTTATGATTGCACTTCGGTAAAATCTAGCAAACCAACTTTAACTCACCTTTTATTGCGCCGGGGGTGTTGTTCTATGAGCAATTAAAAGAAGTAGATAGGTGTGGTGCTATGATTAGGTTAAACAGCATAAGAAAAGAAGACAAAAATGTTCATTTGAGGTGATATCATGAGACCATATGTGATCTTGACCAAGTGTGTTTGGTTGCTTTGGAGTACTTGAAGCTGCAACTTTAACGACAAACAATTTGAAATTGCATTTGATATGCGCTTTTCGATCTGTGTCTAAAGTTGGGAAAATATTTGGAGATCTAAGGTCTTAATTCCTGTTGTGCTTATTTTCTTGAGAAATATGCTTAAAAAAACTAAGAATCTACAAGTATGCAGGTTCTTCATGGAATTTGGGACTGCTTACGTTCATTTCAATGTGAATCAACATGGATTTGGTGATTCTATTGTTTTTCCTAGAGAAAACTTTTGTAACGGATATGTTGGAAGGGTTTTATGTATTTTTAAGTACCAATTGGTTAAATCCTTTTGAATTTGCATGAAGTTCACTTTCATTCTAGAATTTCTACTTCACCTGAGATTATGGAAAAAAGAACTTTAATTAGGTTGTCATCTCTTTGGTACTATCAAAATAATTGGTTCGCATGAAAATAATAATATGCAGATTGGGAAATAGGAAGGAGGAATGAATATACTTCTAAGTGTTTGATAAAATCTTAACTCGAGCATTGCGACGAAGATACCATTGTTATGTTTGCCTAAGTCAAAGATTAATATTGTCATCTTACCTTCTGATTTATTAAGTATTAAAGCTGTGTATACTATTGCCATTTGTGGCTTATATTTAGATTTGTATTGTGCATTATTTACAGTATTCTTCTTCCATTAAAAGAGAAATGTACGTGGATCTCTCTTCTGAATGTTATTTACAATATTGTGCTCTTTCCATATCCAGACTAAAAACTTTACACAATAAAATATTTGAACCTGTTTACTTCTGTAAGTAATTTGATCTAGTTTTGTCTTGATTTATTGAAGGTATTTGATTGTGGATTTTAACGTGTGCTCTGTTTCAGGAATATGCCCTGAAGCTTTCTCATATTGGCAAGTGAATTACGGAGCCACTGTGTTAGTAATGACTACTGAAATGTATTCATATGATTCTATGAAACTACTCGATGAGTTTTACTGCTAAGTGCTTATATTATGAACACCTTGACCAAATGGATTAATGGATTCATGTGGAAGTTGGCTGGGCTAGATATTGTGCTTATATTGAATCTTGTTCAACAAGGATTCTGGTGAACTTTGGAGGAGATTTCATACTAGCTCATGCGATAAAGCAGCGGATTTGTATGTATTTGTCCATCCTTTGTATTGTACTATTCACTCACTGAAATTCTAATAAAATAGTGCCATAGGTTTGATGTTAGAGAATGTTGCGATGTCATTGATCCACATGATTGTAAGCTAATGTTGGTGAAAAAGGATACTTATGGTCAGGGGCGGAGCCACCCTTGTTCAAAGTAGTGCACTTGAACCACCTCAAAATTACAAATTCCCTACATATATTATAAATATCAGCAATATATCAAAGTGGGTCTAATCCCAGCGGCTTAGGGAATGGAGAATAGAACGTTTATGTCAAATGGTCTTGGGTTCCAAACCTGTGCACTCCATTTAAAATTTCTATTTTTCATACTCTTCAGTGTTCTCTTCTTTGTTTCCCTCTATTTTTAGTAATACACATTTCGTTTTGTCCCTGTTCCCCTCTATTTCTTTGTTTACTCTTCTCTTCTTTTGTTTATTTTGCACCTCTAACTTTTTTTAAAATCTTCCCCTCTATTTCTTTGTTTACTCTTCTCTTCTTTTGTTTATTTTGCACCTCTAACTTTTTTTAAAATCTCTATTTGTTTATTAATTTACCCCCTTCTCTTCTTTTGTTTATTTTGCACCTCTAACTTTTTTTAAAATCTCTATTTGTTTATTAATTTACCCCGTCATCGATTAAACTTTTGATTGTTTATTTCGAACCACCACTCAAAACGCCGTAGATCCGCCGCTGCTTATGGTGTTATATTTATTCTTTTGATTGATTTTGAAAAATGGTTGTAACTAATTACTATCGAGCACCGTATATATGCACAACATTGATTCTTGGTCTGAAGCGTGTTTATTTTCTAGTTCTGCTTTGCGGTTAAACATTTCTTTATTGGTATTTGGTGACTCTTAATTGGTAAATGTGGACTTGTAGCCAGTGTGTACTGTGTATAAGCAGGTTAATGTGGATTTGGGTTTTGGATGCTGAAGTCTTGTTCATCCGAGGTATTTGATTTGGATCCATGTTGCAGTTCTATAACAGGAGAAACCAAAAGAATATTGGTTCTTTTTTATATGGTGGTTAATGATAAAAAAATTTCGAGTTATTTTATTCGGGATGTTATTTTAGTTTCTATTTTGACGATGTTAGTCATGTTTACGACCAACCTTGTAAATCATACTTACAGAGGAAATTGGTGGGATTAAAACTAAGTGAATTGATGTTATATAAATATCTAATAGGTTTAGACATAAAAACATGTAACTTTTCCGTTGAGCTACTACTACAGGTCTCATAGGAAGACTGAACTCTAGACTTGGTCGAGGTTAGCAAAAAGGTAAAAAAGGAAGAAAAAAAAATAATCCTGGCCATATGTATAGCATTGAATTGTATGCGACCCTCCACCTAACTTCAGATACATGCACAAATGAGAAGAATTAATGTCATGTATAGTTAGGTATAACTAACATATTCTAGTTTCCTCATGGTCCTAAACGCAACAATGTAACTAATAGAGTGTTGCTACAGGGACCCAAAATATAGGACCAAAAGGGGGATATGTGAGGTGTCCACATCCTATTGCATAATGAGCCTGTCATCATTAATGATGGTCAGCTCATTATGCAATAGGAGGGGGACACCTCACATGTCCCCCCTGTTGGTCGCATATTTTAGGTAACTAATATCTTAAATCCCACACTGCTGAGAGTTTGGAAGATCATAGGTCCAAGAGAAAATTATATTGTAGTCTTTAATAAGATAAACATAGAAACAAATACAAAAGCAACCAAATAAATCGTCTAGAAGAATGCCAAAAACATTCTCATCCAATTTTCTATTTCCAAGCCAAAATTTAAAATGATTTTGGACTGCTAGGTTGGACCCTGACGCCTGAAATCAGGCCAGAATTGGTGGTTTGTCTGCATTGAATAAATTAGGGAAATGCCAAAGGTTGATGGATATGTTCATTAAATAGAGGCTCGCCTTCAGCGGAAATGGTTGGTAGAGAGAATGATGAATAATGTGGGAGATCGAGACTCTTGCTGATTGTTTCTGGTTGGATTTCTTAATGGTTGTCCTTCGTTAGCTCTGGGTCTAGGTCCATGCTTGTAATTAAGGGCTAGCCTTTGGCAAGTGATGTACACGTAAATAGAATATAACTGATGTATGTTTAAATATAAATTACGGTATGTTTAACAGTAAACTCAACAAATATTAAATCTTAGAAAAATTCTAAAAATTAGAATACATGTGAGCTTTCAGAATAATTATTCTCACGTTTGCATAACATAAGGTACTAACGTGTCGGCAAATTATTCTCACGTTTGCATAACATAAGGTACTAACGTGTCGGTTTTAAAAATATTAAGATAACGTATGCTGCCAAAAACAAGTCAGTAAGGTAGCTGAATGCTAATTAGCCATCCCCAAAACCCCCACATTAATAGCTCAACTGTAGTCGCCAGTGGAAGGAGTTTTCAAAGAGAAAAAAAAAGCAAGAATAGCCCAAGCAAGGAGTCAAAGAGTCAAAAGACTTTGAGGGAGATAATTTGGTGCTCCATGTTATGTTGTGAGCTGTGGAGAGCCATTAATGGTCCAGCAGTGGACCAGTGTTGGACTTGGAGTAAAGCGTGCGGTCTTCTATCTGCTCCGAGGACAAAGCCTGCTGTAGCAAATCCCTTGTGCGCTGCAAGTGAAAGATATATGAGAGTATTTTACTCACATTTATTAGTGTTTGTTCGTTTACTCCACTCACCTAATGCACGTTCTTGGTTTATAATTTCTACGGTCGATTTCAAGTAACCCCCTTAGACTTTGAACTTAATTTTCTTATCGGACCTCTCTACATGTTATTTGCAAGTAAGTGAACTTTTCTTATCGGCTTCGTTTGGGTACCATGGTGTTTTCTTTGTTGTGTTTTTGTAAGAAAAACAACATGGTGTTGTGCTTTTCCCTTAAAACGTTTTCAAAACAACATGTTAAGTATTTTTGGTCAACATTAGTTTGACTCATTACCACATTAGTATTAAACATATTATTAATATATTATATATTAATTATAATAAAATGTATTGTAAATAAAATATTATAATATTTAGTTTATATTATTATAGTATTAAAGGTATTAAATATAATACAATATAAAATTGTATAATGTATTACAATATTATATTGTACTTAATGAGTTATATTATATTATAATTATTACATATTATATTCAAATAATTATATATGTAATTATTTGGCATATCAATTTGTTATTGTTATATATTATATTAAATTTTTTATAATATTATTATTTTATTATTAATATAATATTATAATATTATATATATTAATATTCTTATAAAAATGTTATTTTATTATTAATATAATATTATACTATTATTAATATAATATAATATTATACTATTATTTATATAATATAATATTATTAATAATGTTAATATTATGTTATTACTAGTATGTTATTAGTAAATTAATATATTATAAATATTTTAAAATTATGTAATATATTATGGTCTTTAATATGTTAGAGTTTATTAATAGTAATCTAATAATATATTAACAATTTATGATATAAAAATATTGTTATATTATTTTTATATTAACATTTGTTAGCAATAAATTATTTTATTTATTATATAATATATTAATATTTTATATATTATATTGCATTTACTATACAATATATTATTTTAAAAATATTATTATATTGTTATTTTATTTTTAAATATGTTACTATTATATAATATTTTATAATTATTAATTTATTATAGCTTATTTATTAAAAATTTTAATAATATTATAGCGATCATACTTGTATAGTATATTATTATGTTATTATTTATTATCAATAACTTTTTTATTATTTCTTATTAGTTTATTTATATTTTATTATTATTTATTATTATATAATACATTGTTAACTTATTAAATATTAGTATTTAATATTATATTATTATATAAGATATATTTTTATTATATTTTTATATTATTTAATAAATATTACTAATATATTAGATTAACTATAATATAGTATAGTATAGTATATTATAGCATAATAAGCATGTTGATAATAACTCTATATTAATTATATTTAATATATTATGTTAGATATTATACTAACACATTCTCAAACTCAAAACCAAAACACCAAACTTAAAACATCTTTTAGATGTTTTGAAATAAGTGTTGTGTTTTTAGTTTGAGGATGATTTAGCTCAAAAAACACCATGGTTTTCAAACACATGATGTTTTATTTTTTGCAAAAACACAATGGAAACAAGTAAAACACCATGGTATCCAAACGGATTAGTTAATTGTTTTCAAATTATAGGTTGTGAGATGGTGAGGGGGGAAAAAGTTTAATAAGCGTTGTGGGACACCCCCAAGTTATTAGATGAGATTAAAAAAAAAAAATTGTTCTTGAAGAATATGTGAAAAACCCACGAAAACTGGGCGAAGCTATGCGAAATTAACCTTTTTATATGCTTTTTCTATGTGGGAACCCTTTTATATTCTAACATCTTTATAGAGATTGAACATTCTTTTTATGGATCAAAATCAATATCCTTCTATAAAAATGGAGTATGTGCTCACTCTTCATTTTTTCTCGGGGGGCTGTTTGTTTGCCTAAAAAAAGAGGGAAATCAAAGAATAGGAAACCTATTTCTAAGAAAATTTGTTTTGAGATTGTTTGGTTAGCTAAAAAAAAAGAAGAAAATCAAAGAATGAGAGATGAGTTGTCACATTATTATTGGATGATGTGGGTGATTTTTTAAGAAAATTTGTTTTAAGGTTGTTTGGTTGGCTAAAAAAATAAGGAAATAAATTATAAGAAACATATTTCCTATAATAGGTTTTTTTCTTGTGTTTGGTTCATTCATAAAAATAAGAAAATAGATAAGATGGAATTAGTTGTCATCATATTATTGGATGATGTGACAGATGAGATGAGATGAGTTGTTATTATATTATTGGAAGATGCGATCCACACTTAAGGAAATCGATTTCCTAATTTTTTTTTGAAGGAAATGGGTGGAAATAAAATATTAATAAGATGAGATGAGTTGTCATTATATTATTGAATGATGTGAGTGATTTTTAAAGATGAGATGTGATGGAGATGAGATGAGTTGGATGATGTAACCCATTTCTTGTATTTAGTTTATTTTTAGGAGATGATATGACATACGTTGTGAGATGAAAATAATATTTTATTGGATGTTGTGGTAAGTTTTAGGAATGTAAATGGATGAAAATAATATTTTATTGATTTCCATGTATTCTTTTCCTTTTCTTGATTTTTAGGAAACCAACCAAACAGCCCCTCAAAAGAAAAGAAAGAAAAGAAAAGAAAATAA